ATCTAATGTTGCAACTAATCAGGGATCCCTTTAAAGAGTACCTAATAAACGCTCTAAACATCTTGGAGTCATAGTTAAATTTTTTGCAGAATAATGAGATTAATCATGAAATCAAGCCAATTTTTTGTCAATCCAAATGAATACTACATGAGGAATGAAAGTTACATTCTGAGGTCCCAGATGTAAAAAAAAAAAAATACAACAAACAACAAGGAGAAACAGAAAAACACAAGAAAGTGGATGGATGGAGTGTACTGCAACCTACAAACATACACATTCAGCCATAGTAAAATCATTGTTTCTAAAGAAAAGAAAATGGGATGAATGGCAGAAATATGTTGCGATTAAAAATTTTAATCTACGCCCAGTATTTTACCGTTATACACTGGATTCACTTTTTAGACCTGGAGGCATTTTTAGCCCGTTCAAAGTTTTATCATCCGCCTGTCTAATTCTTGGTGTATTTCATATAATTTTATTTATCAACTATCCAAATATTTTATGAAGTTTTGAGTATAATACATATTTGCAGATATTTATTGATTTAAATGGCTTTCACAACAATCAAAAAGCAAAAGTGCCAGAGAATAAAGGGCCTTTGTTTTGTTTGTTCAAGTGATTGAATCATTATCTACATAAAGTGTTTATGTGTTACAGGCTGACATTTATCAAAWCAGCGGCGAGGCCTACATTGTTTTTGGGGTCATCCTGTTCTTCTGGGAGCTGCTGCCCACCAGCTTAGTGGTGGTTTTCTTCAGAGTCCAGAGACCCCATCAAAACCTGGTAAGCTAACAAGCTTAAAGTCTTGAGTTGTACTGGGAACGTTGGTGAATCTTCGAGCCAGTTTCAACACCTGTGTGTCTTTAGACTCCAGGGGGGATGATAAACAGCCACAGTTTCAGCTCCAGAGCATACTTCTTTGACAACCCGCGGCGGTACGACAGTGACGACGACCTGTCCAGAAGCGTTGGTGGTAGAGCTGATCGGACCAGGTGGGCTCATTTTCTGGGTAATGTTCTGCCTCCTGCAGCACCTCTACTCAAAACAATGTTTATTTATTTTTTTCTCTTCCGTGCTTCTAGTCTCCTCTCCACCACGCCCCAGCAGGCAACATCTAGTTGGTACGGCTCCATCCAACGTAACGGGACCTTAGCGGCGGGGGCGGCGGCGGCGGCCCAGCAGCCAGCACCTTCCACAGCCCCGCTCCTTTTTGCCCACGGGGGCATCCAGAATCACCATCATCATCATCACAACTACTACTCAACGCCGCAAAACAACAACCAGCATCATCACACTAACCATTATTCCACGCCGCAGAACTATTACTGCGGGTCACAGACGCATTTCTGCACCCCACAAAACTAAGAAGGAATGACGGTAAACCTTGGACAAAACGTTACAAATTATCCAGCTGTATTAAAAGTAATACTTTTGAATCATCTTGTAAACCATCTCTCTACTCTGGTTTACCAGTTCCTCAAAAAGGTGTTGACTAATCAAACAGAAAATTGGTGCGCCGGGACTAGCAGCTTTTTGAGGACCTCAGCGTCATTASGAGTGGCGTGCAACGACGTTCTTAAATCTGACACGCTTTTTCTGTTAAACAGATCATCACATGTGAGACTGGAATCAACATAGACCAGATAATCATCATTCCACTTTTCTTGAAATGTCAAAGCTTTGCACAAACAGGGGTTGCGTAGCAGTTGCTAGCTTAGWAAGCAAATTTGGCAAAAACCTGAAACTGTCGGTCAGCAGATCAGAACTTGGAGATAATGTACTCTCACAAGATTTGTCAAGTTGTTGTTTGACTTCAGAGAYGCTTTTTATTGGAATCATAAATAAAGACCTTTCAAAAACTCTCAAAGCATCAYTCAGCTTAGCGAGGTTGTCAGCCAGTTAGCAAACCACCTCGTTGTCTCACTTAAATATAGTTTCAGATGACAGGAAATAATTTGCCAATGGCTGCTGATGCAGGGAGTGCTGATSACAGTAAAGGTTAGATTAGTAGTAAAATAATCTCAAAAACTGCTAAACTATAACCAAACTTAAATCTGTCACAAACATGGTAATATGGTTTTGCTGAAGGCACACATTACTATTATTTTTGCTGATCTGAGGTTGATAAGTGTCACACAAAACTAGGTTAAATGAAAAATGTCATTAGCAAGCCCTTGCTCTGTCCTGTTGACATACTGGAAGTGCTAAAGCTTTTTGCCATTAGCTGCTGAGGCAGGAAGTGCCGTTAGCAGCAGCAGCTAGTTTAATAAAAATGACAAAAACTGCAAAATTATAACAAAACTTAAACCTAAAGGCAAGTTTTACTATTATGTTCATTTGGGGTTGGTAACAAAAATTCCTTTAAAAATGCTGTTAACAACACAGTTAGCTCTGTCCTCGCATGGCAAATGACAAGAATTAGCAGAAGTTTACAGTTAGCTTAACAACRAAAGTATTAAAAATGACAAAAAAAACTGCTAAAATACAACAAARACGTAAGCCTAATGGTGAGTTTTTACTATTATTTGGCATTTGGGGTGAATAATACATTGCCACACAGAAATTATTGTTGAACAGTAAAAAGTTAGCTCATGATTAGCTTGTGAAATTTTGGCAAAAGGGAGGGAAACCTGGTAGCAGAAGCAGCTGGAGTCATTTTAAAGAAATCAAAGAAAATAAGCAGAAATATAACAATAAGTTAAAATATTTAGTCGAAGGCAAGTCATTACAATTGTTTTGGCTGATCTGTGGTTGAAACTAAAATGGTGTTAGAAAAGCGCACAGTCCTTTTTTACCTGGTAAACATGTACAGCTGTTCTTTTAAGGTCTATTGTTCTCATAACTCTATGCCAACTAGTAGCCCATAYTTTCCTATACAACTTCTATTTGTCTGCTAAGTAGAGAGTCAGTGTTAGTCTCAGTAGTCCAATTTTTCAGTTTCTGCTTCTGATTGACTGAAGCCAATGTTAGGCTTGCATGATAAATTTCATTATTACTGCGAGGAACTCTGAGCTTTCTTATTCAGAATTATACATGGTGAAAATTTGAATGTATTGGTTGAAACGAGCAGCTTTGTTTGTGGAAAACATACAAGTCCAACATCAACTGAACTGCTTTGTAGCTCATCTCTGAGAGGGGTCTGTTGGAAGCTTACAAATGACCAAAAGGTTGACGTAAAATCTGAATTTTTGTGAGCCGCGAAGCAGAAATTTGCACTTAAATCAAGATCAGCTTCAGAGAGGGTGGCTTTGGAGCCTGAATGTAGGTTTTTCTTCTTATATTCTGTATTTTCTTCATTAATTATCTATATTCTGTACTAGTTGTGAGAACAAAACAAAAAAAAAATCAAAGTGCCATCACTTTTGTTGTCATATCGAATAGTTGCATTCCTTAAAGAAAATATTTTTGCACAAGACTGTCAGATGATCTGATGATYTGTCTTTAATAGTGTGTCCATGCCAATCGGTTTCTAACATCTGTGTGCTTCGTGACATTTTTACTGTCAGTGATATGTTTGTGTGTTCTTCAGTATTTGTTTTGGAGTGTGTTATTTTTACATGTTTTATTTGACATATATTTTTATTAACAAATTTTATATTTTTCTCACTTGTTTTGTTCTTTACCATAGTTTCACAGATTTTTCAGCATTTTTGTGACAAACTGGGGCTTGTCAGCAATACTGTAAAGAAGCTTGTTTGTTGTTTTATAGCCCTGTTTTAAAAACCAAAATCAGTGCACCTGTGGTGAAAAACTGAGATGTTGTGTGTGTGTTTTTTGAACATTGTTGTAACTCTGCTTTCACAGAACTCAACCTGTACATAAACTGAGGAGGGTTTGTTTCATGGAACATTTTAACCACAAGGTTAGTTTCAGCTGCCCATTCAGATAGTTTAAACTGAGTTCTGTTGAAAAGGCGATAAGAAGACAGTATCTTACCTGCTGTATATAAGCTCTTTGAATGACATCAGTTTCAAAAATTATGTGGCTAGTTGTTAGCATGTTTCTAATTGTTAACTAATGGTTTAAGGCTAAAGGCTCAAATGCTTTAACAGCTCTGACTGGCCGTTAACGGCAGGCCACCAACAACACGGGCTAAAGCTAATGTCTTTGACTAGCTGTTATCTTGTTTCTAGCCTTCAGTTTACAGCTCAGGCTAAATGCTCAAATAAGCTAAAGGCCCTGACTAGCCATTAGCCAACTGCTAACAGCTCAGACTAAAGGCTTGAACGAGCAAACAACTCTGATTTTGGCCTAGTCCCAATACTCGCATTTCCACTCTTGTGACCTTAAAATATGCATGAGTGCGTAGTGTGTCCCAATTCTCCAGAGTGGTCTTTGGCCCCGCCCCCTTTGCAACCTTGATCCACACTTTGGCTAAGCCTTCATCTAAGCAGACTTTGGTAWAGTGTATTACCCACAATTCATCGCTGCATGTGACGTTTTCAATTATGGCAGTTTTAGCAGCGCAAATGCCAAAACAGTGACTGGTCACTCCATTTTTGACGTAGCTACGATGCAGAGGCACAAGTCAATGACGTAACCCATACTGCTCCAATTCTTCAATTTTTACATGCATGCAAAACTTGAACCCTTACGTGGGCTTTGAAAGAGTACACACTTCACAGAGTTGTGTAAGGTGTACTGCAAGTATTGGAACGATGTGCATGTTTCTAGTCATTAGCTAATGGCTCAGACAAAATACTAAAGGCTCAAACCAAGACCAAATGAGATGTTAAAGAGAAGCTTAAAATAACACTAATGTTAACTTTGTTTTATAAACCTTCAAACAATTTTATATTACATGGTTATTTACATATAATTGTGTACATTTGTCAGCATAAATAGCAGCAGTAGCCACCTGTAGCACCTGTTGATTCAAGCAGGAMTGTGTTTACTAGAATTATGATACAATGTGAAGTTGACTGAGATGTAGAGGTTTATAAAATATGTCAGATTCATGTAGTTCTCGGCTCCGCTCAGACTAGCCATTAGCTCATCATTACTGTTAGAAATAACMTCTATTTCTTCAAACTGAAGTCATTCAAAGAGCCATCTACAACAGGTAAGATATTAGTGGTTTATAACCTTTTAACAAAGCCTCAAATTTAAAAGATCTTTTTTCTTTAAAGTTCTCTTCCATTGACAAGTACTGGACGCTGGAATATTTAAAGGATGGGACGTTCTCATTGTTGGGTCCAACAGTTTTATATTAATGCATGTTTTATGCATCAATGTGCAACAACCCTCCTTTTATTTTCAGGGTGGCTTTATTTGTGTAAAAGTGTCATTGAGTCTCTGGTTTAAAAAAAGCAATCCAAGTCATAATTCTTCAATAAATTGTTACACAGTATTGGCTTTTATCCTCGACCTTTTGAATGTAATCTGAGCAACGGATTAATCATGTATGCAAGAAAAGCAGATTAAATAAAGGCCTACAGCACTGACGAGCAATATTCATAAATCTGCTTTAGTGTTAGTAAATACATTTAATATAACCAATATGTCCATCAATACCAGGCACAAATGAGGAAATCCAATTGCTACACAATGTTCTGATTGTTTCTGCTGACTGGTTCTGACCCCAGTCCTGTCATGTGGCTGAATTTATGGGTTAACGCAATTATGAGGAACATCCCAGCTGAGACGGGTCATCTGACCCACATTTCATCACTTCTCACAGGTATCTGCTGCTACGTCTGAAATTAGTCAGCAAACAGAAGTTACTTCAAAACAGCAGCTCGTTGGCAGGTTTTACGCAATGAGACTCCAACTTTAAACCATTTATTTGAATTAAAAATGTTTTTAAACATTTTCAAAATCCAGACCATGATTTGCAAGAACATGAAACAGGTGATTTGATGAACAAATGATTTCTCAGTTTAAGAAAAGTGAGCACAAGTGTAAAAAATTAGACCATCATAGTTCCTAATCTGCATTCAGTGAAAAAGATCCCACATGATTCTGGAAGTAGATTATCCCTCCTGCTGTCCTTGGGTCAAAACAACCCCTGAACTGATGCATGAATACAGAACAGATTACATAGTTTCTCAACTCGCCTGTTTTCTTTGGGTCAAAATGACCTAGTGAGGCCTGCTGTGCCATTTTAACCCAAGGACAGCAGGACCGTTGAACTCACTTCTGTGATAAAAGAATCATTCACGCACTAAATTAAACACAGGCGTTTATTACTAGTCATACTTCAACCTCCTGCTGCCCTTGGTCAAAATAACCTACAGGGATTCACTTTTAAAACAACTTCTAAACTGCTGTGTAAACAGAACTGATCAGGTCCAGTTTACCAACCATCCTGCTAACCTCGGGTCAAAAAAGAAATCCACTGAGGCCTCATCATTTTGACCCAAGGGCAGCAGGAGGGTTAAACTTGCATGTGACAATAAGTAATCATACACGTGTTTCCCTGTTAAATTTAATTAAGATTGTAATTTTCTGTACTGTCGCTTGGTCATTATATTTAACCCTCCTGCTGCCCTTGGGCCAGGATAACCCACAGGGTCAAACCAAAGAGTCATGGGTCAGTTTGACTCAAGGACAGCAGAGGGATTAGGAAACTATTCTGCTGTGTTTACGTAACAGATAATATAGAGATGCAGACAATATATTTACCCCACTGCTGCCCTACAGTCAAAATGAACCACAAGGTCTCATTTGACCCAAAGGCAGCAGGAGGGTTAAGAGAGTCCGTGTAATCTGTTCTGTTTCACCATTATTCAAATAATTATCCATTCTTTTTTTTTTAAGGCAGGAATGTTAAAGTGCACAAAAGTACATTTTATTTTCACCGCTGTTTCTAAATTTACACCATTAATGAATTCCACTGTTTAATATTATTAAACTGGCCTGAAGGAGCTGGGATTTAAAGACCCAACAAACACCACGTTCCACTGAAACCCTGTTCACACTACTCCAGATATTTTTCAAAATTAATATTTAATGCTGAACTGAATCTTCATTTTTACACAAAAAACAAGTTTTGGAGAAAAAAACTCAAAATGACTTGTTTCAGATGTTAGGTGGTTGTTAAGTGAGGACATGAAAATAAAAACAACTAAATATGGGTTTCAATAAATACTGGAGGGATGTAAACAGGGCTTGAAACATATATAAGAAAAAAGATTTAAGGCGTTTTGGTGACTGGATCTCTCAGACAGGAACAAACATCCACCCTCATTTACCAAAACCATGACACAAACTGAATTTTAGACAGTTTTGACGTTTTCTCCAGTCATAGTTCATCGTTCTCATCATCGCTGCTGTCCCAGGAAGTGAAGCGCGTAGATTTCCGAGGGAGGAGTTTGCACCTCTGTCAGGATTCCTCGCCAGCTTCCTGGTTGACGACGTGCTGGTATCCGCTGCCGGCCTCCTCCTTTTGCCGACAAATAAAGAAGAGGAGTAAGGCAATGAAGACGAAGAGCACGCAACCGGACACGGCCAGGCCAATGATGACTTCTTCAACACAAAGTGGAAACAAAAATTTAATATGACATTTAAATGGTTTTTGTCCTGTAAGGATCAAAAGCCCACCTCTATCGCTCCTCTGTGACGGAAGCTGACACTCTTTGTCCCGGTCGTCTGAGATGGAGCCCTTTGTAATTTCCAAAAAATCCTCCAGGGGGCAGTTAAGAGAGCAGCCGGGCAACTGAATCGGGTACGGCTCCATGTTGGAATCGTTACGGTAAAACATGGACACTGAAGCAGAGCTAAAAGCACAAGAATAAAAAGGCAGGTTGAAGCTGTTTTGTGTAAACGCTGAGACAACATTCATCCTCTTGAACTCCTGTTTCTCAATACAATACTGTTTATTCTACTGCTAATTATGTACACAAAAAATGAGTAATGCAAATGCTTCAACAACTATTGCTAAAACTAGTATCAGTGCTAATGCTAATGAACTGCCAGGCCAAAAAAACAAGTCACCACCTAAGTGCTATGATCTGAGGTTGCAGCATTTGGTCAGGTCTAGGTTTGTTTTGGCCTGGTAGTATATTAGCATCAGTGTTTTCCCTAGGAAATTGGTCTTGTTGAGGTATTTGCCTGTTACTTCACAGGCAAATACCTCAACAACTGTTCATCTCAGCAACATTAATTCTTTTTGCAATATTTCATCAATGTCCTCTTTCTAAAAACGCATTCATATGTATTACAAAAATTTGACGTCACAGGCACTTTAACAGTGGGAGAAAGCCATCTCAAGTCCATACAGTGCAGAACCATTGTAACTGAACAGCACTCGCTCCGACATCAGTTGTTCTCAGAGGCTATACAGCTCAGCTGACTGTCCTTCTGGATCATGGTTTTCATTTAAGAGACAATTCCCACAATTCTTTGCATTTACGTGGCAGGAAGCAATTGGAGCTATGTCACTGGGTGACACTCCCAGTCCCAGCCCTTCTCCACCTGTTACGGTTCTGCTCGGTTTGGCCAAATGTGTCATCAGGTTCCAACCACACAGTTTGTACCTCCTCTACGGTGGTTCTAAGCGGGTAGAAGTGAGTACAACACGCTTACGATTTTGACATTAACAGAATGCTGCCCGTGGATTAGCTCTTGGTTTGATTGACAGAAGAAAAAGCATTATTTGTGCAAACTTCCTCCATGGGAAAGGCAGAACTTGCAAACACTTCCTGGAGAGAAGTGAGGGAGACGAAGCCATGCAGATATCCGAACAAACTGTCCGCCCACGGTTTCACAAATACTATCATGTAAAATCAACTTTTTTGAGTTTTATATTAAGTTATAATGTTATCCTCTCATCAAAAACATGTCCAGAGTCTTACTTTGACTCATTCATGCATGTTTGAGAAATCCTGTAATGTCCTGAGACAGCCAGGGAGGGGAGCAAAAATGACCGGTTGGGACTAGCTCCTCCTCTGGGCTGTGTCTCTGAACCAAGCTTCCTCATCACAGAGCACCCCCACCCACTCCCCCACGGACCCCGCCCATGACTCCTGCAGGAAGAAATGGGCGGGACAAAAGCGGAAGGAGGTTCTTAAAGAGACAGAGGCCAATTTCAAAGTGTTTAGAAACATATGACGATAAGTCACGTTTATTTTCTATTTAAACATATAACCAACATTTTAATAACAACTGAAGGTGACGTTAGTTTATGGTATAGAATTTAAATATGTCTGAGAAACACATATTACCCCTTTAAACAGCACCGCAACAAAAAACAAACAAACAAACAAACAAATAAATAAATAAATAAATAAATAAATAAATAAATAAATAAATACTGCATGGTAAAACTTCAACAGTTTTGTTTTGTTTTTTTTAAGCACGACAGCGCTGTGGACGGTCCGCCCATAATCACGCCCACAAAGTGAGGGCTCATGGAGAAGGGGCAGTTACTGGAACTCTACCATAAACATACGAAAATAACCACGAAGCAGCAGAGCTAGCAATTCACAACAACTGTTTATTTATCACCATGATCCAAAAGTCTGTTTCAACAAATCACCTTCCCAAACTGCAGTGTCATGTGCAACACTGTGCAAGTAAAGTGACATGCCTCTAGTCAGTAATATTACAAAAGAATGGGCCCTTGTTATCACAGAAGATACTCTGGTGAACTCTGTGCTTTATAACTAGCTTATGCTAAGATTTATTGAACCTGAGCACTTTAGAACTTGTGCAACTAACTTTTAAATTAATGCTGCCCACCACTGAATTTGACCATAGCTGATTCTACTAGGGGTGTCCCGATCCGATACTGATACTGGATATCGGTCCGATATCAGCCAAAAAACGAGTATCGGATTTTATCGGCCTGCATAAAAAATATCCGATATAAGCGCTCCGATATTAGCAGTCCGTTCCAGCAGTTCACTGACTCCGCTCCAGTGTTTCTATCCAGCAGCGCTTGGATCCAGCATGATCACAACAACATGCTGCGCTAACAAGTTAGCAAGAATGTCGGCAGAACTTTCTATTTTCATCAGAAACAGAGTTGAAGCTAAGTGCAAAGTTGTCACACACAAGTTTTCTGTGGGGGCACAGAACCGTGAACGTTTTAAACTGGAGCGACAACTACTCTCCACCCTGGCAGCAGCTTTGCGGTTCGGCTCGGTCCAGCCTCGGTCCAAAAGTGTCTCCATGATTCCAA